AACCTTCTGCTCGAAAGCAGAACCAGTCTATTCCTTTCACTCGAAGGTGGAAAAGAGAAGGCAAGAGGTGGAAACTGTGCGCAACAATCCCCGCAACGCGTTCCTAGATACATACTACAGCGTACGAGTGTGTGCGCGTGTATGTGTGTGTGCACCTACGGATGAAAATAATGTAACACGCTCCCATTGAAATCTATTGACGCGCCAACCCCAAACGCGTCGCGCACATGTGCGATGCGCCTATTCTATTTGGACCAATTTCACCCGAGAGAGAGAGAGAGAGAGAGAGAGAGAGAGAGAGAGAGAGATACGATACAGAGTGTATGGATACATGCTTATTTACCCATAGGTAACGCATACGCGCGCGCGCGTGTGTGTGTGTGTGTGTGTATGTCGGTGACTCTTGTGAAGAGTACGCAAAATGGCGATGTCAAAATAACCGTAGGCAATTTCGAAAGCGAGAACTCGAGAACCGGCCGCGCAGATCGTCACGTCGCGTCTCTATTCCGTTCTATATCGTTACACCCACTAAGTATATGTGTGTGTGTGTGTGTGTGTGTCTCTAGAGCTACGGTTCTACGCCGATCTGCGTGGGTTAGGTTCGACGCGCAAGGCAATTTCATCGACGGCAAGGGTCGCCCGCGTCCAACGCGTGCAACGCGAATACCTTTTTATCGCGCGAATCACGCGACAATCATCTGGCATTAGGCGAAATGGTATTACAAGGGCTCCGAAAGGCATCGCGGCAACCCTAGTCGGACCGGTCGGCCAGCGCTCTGCGACCAGCGCTGACGACATCGACAATAATGTAATAGCGCAAAGTAATTCAGCGAGTTACCGACTACTTACTAAAATGCCACGAACACTTGTGATCTTTACGCGTTTTGCACGCCCTGCTCGCTCGCTCGCTCGCTGTTGCAAAGCAACGCGTCTATGCTCGGAAAAATTCAGATTTCACGCACGCTCGTGAAATCGGCGATATAGCCCTGGCTTTCTCGGTTTTTCAACGACCTGCAACGCTGATTTCGTCGTGCCTTTTTACGACCACTTACTGACTGACGTTGCGTCGATCGTCCAAAAACATTGAAGAGACAAACGAACCGAATAAAGGCAACGGCAGATCCAATAGATGGACAAGTAGAAAGAAAAAAAGAAGCCATTTCGCACGCACACGGATAGAGAAGAATACGTCTATCGCGCAGACGGAGAAGTAACACGCCCGTAGAGTGTACTCGCCACTTGGAGCAATTGACCACGCAAGTGTTTATCGTCCCCTTCGACTACGTGATGCTATGCAACATTCGTTCAATCTTGCTTTATACGCCGCTGACTGAACTGTTATCGGTTCGGTGATAACGCGCGATCCCACCTCATCCCTCCAATTATCTCAGCAGAACTTTCGATAAATCGTCTACATCGATATCACGACGGTGAGCAACTTGAAAAGCTTTCACCCAACAACGTTTGAAATTCGTCCAGTAATATACTATCATACCACCAAGAGTAGTATACTGCACGTTGCTTTATTCACAGATCGGCACGAAGAATATCTACCTATCTGTAGGTACAGCGATCGAAAATATGACGAACAAGTAATAAATAGTTAGAGAAAATGGGCGGATAGCTCGAAAGTGTATATTGGATTGACACCTCGAAATATCAACTAATTTCATTTTAGTATAATCTGAGTAAATAACGACAGCCTCGTTAACAATTGCAAGAAACATTTTGCTGCGTCTATTACTTCCGACAAAGGAAAGGAACGTTGTGTAAGCTCATGAGAAATTATCTGAATTGCGAAAAGTGTCACAATTGGTTTGTTCAAATTTCACTCATCGACATTGAAATTATTCTTGAAACATTTTGCTCTCTCTTCAGTGCGGAAAAAGAAAAGAAAAAAAAACAATTTGCAGTTAATGTTTGGTCAACCTAATATACGCGTAGAATCGAAGAGAGAGAGAGAGAGAGAGAGA